AACATATTTGGAAGATAGCGGAGAATTCTCAAACCATTTTCTTATGTGCCTCATATATTCGTACAGAAAAAGCAGTTTATACCTGTACCTTAGATGATACGCTTATTTCTTAATTGTGTTATAAACACGTCAATATAATAGAAAGAATTTAACGATGATTACACTTCATAAACGGCAAAGATGCATAAAACAATGAAATGAAATGTCGTTGCATTGTATTAAACTTAACTCGCACTATATTAAACATGTACCACCATTCCACCAGTTACTGATAACTTATTAAATATTTCTTTAAAACATCAATGAAATCAAGAATTTGTAACTTGTTGATCAGGAACTCGAAGAATGATGAAAAAATACATACGAACGTATACGTATATCCTAAAAATTATAAATAATAGTCTGTAAATAATAAACGTTTAAATTTTTACACTTGTCAGCTAGGATACGTGTATACCACAATGAACAAATTCCCTTATTCAAAAGGGCCAAAAGAATCTTGCAGGCAGTATTTAAATGATAGAATTTTGGCAAAACACGAATATGTTCCTGTTTCTATTTCTAAGGCACAGATATACGAATTTTACATAATGTATGTGTATTTGTCTGCATAGATATATACACACACGTAATAACGGTGACGTGTTCAATAATATTTAAGATGTGATCAATCTACAAGTTACTTTTTACTATATAAATGTCTGTGTATATGTAAATACACATACATCTATATGGAGAAATTTATGATCCAATGTGACAGAATTTTTAAGCGATACCATATCCATGTATACCATGCACCACTTGAAATTATTTGAAAACACAGTTACCAGTAGAAAGGTTTAAAATACAAAACTTTCACCATGTGACATCCGAGATATCTTTATTTCGAATTTTTATAAGATAAACATAAAGAAATAAAAATACACTGAAGCGTCAAAAACTTTAATGCATCAACTCCTTAAATGATATTACCATTGCTGATGGATAGAGCCAGCGTATCCAAATTCTGAGTCATGAACCATTACTAATCAGCCAGCCCCCCTCCCCCTCCTGACTATATACGTTAGATATTAATACATTATCTTAAAATACATTATGTACAATCTTACATTGTGTGATTGTTAAGTACTGTTAGAATGTCAAAAAAATATTCGAATTCATTCTGTTTTCGTTTTATGTAAGGATGCACCACAGTTCTTGAAACAATTGAATTCACTTTCTCTTTTATTGAATGTATTCATTTAAAAGAATTATATTTCGTAAATTTTCGTATCCGATACATAATTCAGTTGGTGGCAACATGGTTTCAAAGACACAGCCGCAAGCGAATTTGTAAAGCGAGAATCCTTTTATAAGAAACATGAGAACAGAAGTAATATATAAACATGAAGATATATAGTGTTTAATTTTTATTTATAATTTGCTACTTAAACTAATAGTATTTTCTGGTACGTAACAATAACAAAATTTATCCACAGGATTTCCTGCATCTATACCCCAATGCATGCCATCCGAGTATAGTGTTTATTTCTTAAAAAAGGATTTCAAGTTTGATCGCTTTACCAAAATAGAAGCACACTCCTGCAGCGAATAACTCTATTATTGTAAACCACTACCCGTTCATGTTTATAGTATTTATTATGAACAATCGTGTAATACGATGATTGGTTTCAACCTCTGCGATCAGTACGTGGTATATGGTAGCAGGGGGGCAGGCTAAGAAACACAGGGGAAGAGGGGATGTGCCAAGTTATGCGGTAAAGTAATGGGTGCTCAGATCATTTTTCCCAGCACATATCCTAATATAACCATGACAACAGCAATAAGGATGCTGGTAACCGTTGGTGATGATTCGCTACTATTCTGTGTGTTAAAATTTTTATTAGCCGACGTAGCTTCGTTAACCAACAGGACATTTCGTAATTGCAAGAGATCCTCCTACAAATAATAAAGATTACCCATATCCATTGCTTTATTTACGCTGAAATGGCATAGTTTTCAATTATTTACCTTCAATTGGAGATTTTCCTGTCTAAGGGCACTCTCTTCTTCCCTAAGCTGATTTACTTCTTGCGCTGCCTTTATCAGTTTTTCTTCTGTTTCTCCAGAGATCTGATAAAATAAACATATCATTACATAATAGTAATGAAGGCATGAGGCAAATAGACATGAATTATTACCTTTATTGGCGATGACTTAACAGAATCACCAACACCTTTATTTTTACCATTATTTGTGGCAACTTCTGATTTAGTTGTTTCAGCTGTCATAGTTTGAATTACTGGATTTTCAAATACACACTTTAGTTTAGATTCCATCAATTGTTCAGGATCTATGCCTTTCCACTTTAAAATAAAATTACATGTTATGATTACATGTGAAAGATAGAAATAAGGCTAATATAAGACACAATAAGACTAAGCATAATCGTAAGACTAATACAGAAAAAAAGAACAATAAAAATAAATATCTTTCATTCATTGAAAACTGACTGACTAATAATTATAATATTACATACCATGTCTGGATTTTCTTCATCATCATTATCACGAGCTACTAAAGCTTGCACCATGAATTTGTGTTTATTTTTTTCTGTTGGATCAAAATCAAATGGTTGAAGAGTCACTGAAAAATACAATACTTAGTGAAATAAACTCTCTTGTTTATAAACAGAAATAATTTAATTTATACAAAAGATCCATATTAATAATTATCACAATACAGTTGTACTAACAATTGTACTAAAAATTTTATTAAACATTTAATTAGCAAATTACAACTAACCAGCTATTTGTGAAATTTCCATTGGCTTGAGATATCCGCAATTCGGTCGTACACAATACCTTTTTGGAGCAGTTGTTTTTATTTTAAAATAAACTTTGTGATTCGATGGATTAGTTAATTTTATATATGATGTGACTGTTCTTTCTGTGAAAGGGCCTGTAATATAACACAAACATTATATTAAAAAACATTATAAAATACTGTTTTTAATATTTCTTTTATAACAAAGATCACATAAAGCATACATGTACCACTCATATATGTAAGTGTTCATCTTGTTATTCTTTCAATGCATTTCAAAATATCAAAACAGAATCCAAATAATATAGTATGGATGTAATGTTACAATTATGAGGAGAATAACATCTTAATATTTTGTTTATACAGTTAGGTTACATTTACAAAATTTTTCGTCATATAAACTACAATGTGAGCAACTCCTTTATAAATGTCATTCGACAAAAACCGTTTATTATACTGTGAACCATCTTTTCTCGACATTCTAAACCGCGTATGTACTCTTGAGCTTCCGTTGAACGCAAACAAATTTACGTACTAAACGAACGTTCGTATGTATCGTTTAATATGAACGCAGACACGAAAAATCTATATTTTATCGGGAAAAAAGTTGGAGGAACGTCGAAACAAATTGGATACGATAGAAAAAATAAATGCATAGAATATAATTTGATGAATGTGCTGACTGTATATCAGTTAGTGGAAAAGAGAAGTGAGAGGGGAGGTTGAAAATTGAATCGTGACTGTACTTAGCTTTGACAGCGAATGACGTACGACGAATAGGGTTAGGTATGATTGAAAAGGCCGATGATTTTCGGTGGGTCATTATACGCAATCCTACTTGATTACAAATCAAAATGCAATAAAATTGGCTAGTGGAGTCAACCTTACGTCATCTTGACAACGTAGCGCACCGTGTGCAGCTCGTGTTAACTAACCAACAAAGCGCCTGCCAGTCACGGATCGAACAAAACTCGGAGGGAGTTAAAGAGAGAAGGAAATGTGCGAGTTAGATACGAGTATAAATGACTGATTCGTCGTTTAAGCGTACCCCTGAACCGCAGTTCACTTCGCGGTTCGATAATTAAAATTTGCTCAGGCTTCACCATCCTGTCTGGAAGCCGACCGAATTCTATGAACGATTACCCGCAACACCTTCGATCACGTAAATAACAATATGAAACCACGTCTTGACAGGTTAATCGACGCTCCTTGTGATTTTATACAGCGATACCGCCGTGTCACACTCGCTACTTTCCGGGATTCCGTTGGACTAATTCTGATTTTTGCTCTGAATCGAATACGCATGCGTCACGACGGAAATTATCAGGAATACAGTCGTTACGTCACGAACAGACGTTACCGCGGTAATCATATTCGCTACTTCTACACATCCCGAAACTCGGAATGCCGGTAAAAGACACACGATACAAACCGAATTCCAGAAGATCGTCGATAGGAACTATTTCCTAATTACCGAGATCAGTAATTCTGTTTAATTGATGTTGATCGTTGTTACAGGAAACAAAGTGTGAATAGATGAAATAATACGCTTTGTTGTTTTTACATTCAAAGAATATTACTAGATGATTTAACAGATAATTCGTCTATCTTTATTCTTTAAGTTAAATTAATTTTAAGATGACAATCATACTTATCTTCTATATTTATCTATAGACGGGTCTTTTATTTCTGTTAACTAATAATTATTAAAATATGCACGTAGTTTAGGTTACGAATTTGCATACTATTCATTTTAAGTGTTGCTAGTAACTACTTTTACGTTTCACCATAAGATTCACTAAGAATTAATCGTATTCGTGCATACGTACAGATATTTATAAAATATATAAAATAAAGGTATATCTCAAATAATAGGATATTTTGTAATTTTATTGTTATAATTAGTTTTCATTTCGACCGCTGCTAGTGTTGTGATCTTATTCTATACTGAATCGGTAACATCGGAAACGATATAAACACGATAATTTTACTATCCTTTTACGCATGCTAAACACGTGATACAAGTATCTCTAGTACAAAAGTACAGGTTAGGTATATCCTTTTAATAAGTCCATTAATAAAATTTTTTTTCTATGTCTTTTAAATGCTACTTAATTTGCATATATGATTTGCAATAATTTATGCTATACATTTAATAGCCCAATATAAATTATTTATTACGATTTATGTTACAGTATTTCGAATAAGTGGTATTAGTATTAATTTTGGAAGTTAATGCATTATGGATTTTTTAACACCACCTAATTTAAATGCAGACGTTTATAGAAACATGACAATAACTGATAGACCTGTTTCTAATAAACACTTACAATTTATCAGTATTTATAATGGTAAATAAACAATTTAAATTTTTATGTGAAAATACTTGTAAAAATTTTAATTTTATATTTATATGTAAATAACATATTTATATAATTTTTATAAATATGTTATTTATTTACAGAAAAAAGTGCTATTCTTGGAGGAAGCAATTTAACAGATCGTTATTGGAGTGGTACTGTCTGGTACTACAATGATATTACAAATTTTGATAGAGATAAAGCTTTTCTTCAAATAAAGACAGAGAGTGGTGTTTGCGATGGTATTTTTCTACAAAGTGATAAATTTGTAATTGGTGAAGATAGTGGTGCTTTACAAGTATTTGATTTATCTGCAAAACCTAGTGATTCAGAAGAATTACAGTGTGCAGGATATGCTGCTTTACACGACAACAGCTTGTTAACTCTATCTGCATTTGCTGATAAGGAACATATAGTTTCAGGAGGAATGGACTGTTGGTAAAACCAATTTAAGCATTTTATGTTCAACATTTCTAATAAAGAATTATTTCACAGTATAAAAGTATGGGACATATCAGAGTTAATGGCAACGTATTCATTTGGCTTTGCTCATACAGATATAATTACTTGTGTTGATGCTAAGCCTGGAAGTGATACAGAATTTGTATCGACATCGTATGATTGTGAAGCATTAATGTGGGACATAAGGCTATCAAAACCAGCCCAAAGTAATTTAAATAATAATGTAAACATTTATATATAATTACGAATATAATTTAAATTTCAGTTCATGTTTATTAGGTATTCTAAAGAGAGATGCTGGTTTAACAGCGATATGTTGGAGCTTCAAACAACCAAATATTGTAGCCATAGGTACTGATGATGGAGAAATTATAATGGTTGATGTTAGAAAGGGAGGTGTAAATGTATTATCAATATCATCTGCATTTTCTAGACCTATACATAGACTCTTATTTAATCCAAATTCAGAAAGGTAATGAATGAGCTAATAAATTACAAATCTATATCTTATCGGTATAATAAATTACATAATATTATTATATTATTATACATAACAGGATGGAGGAGTTAGCAGCATGCTGTGATGATGTTTGTGTAGAAGTGTTTGATATAAACAATCAGTTTTCACTAATATACAAAGATGATCGCCATACTGATTTTGTACGTGATCTTACTTGGTTTGATAGCCATTTATATTCTTGTTCTTGGGACACTGTAGTATTAAAACATACAATAGATTTTGAAAACAATATATAACTTATTAATATAAGTATGATTTAAATTATTTCAATTTTGTGTTTTTATACATAAAAATAGATTTCTAGACTGGTACATTTATTTTATTTCACTTTCATTCCATATAGTTATTCCTCTATTGTTCGTATTTATATTTCTACAAATTACTTGTAGTTATATAATTTTACCTTATAATATTTATATATCTCTTTGTAACAGTAGAATATTTAAGAATAGTACAATTGATATAATGTATTAAATATAAAATTCTACATAAATATAGAAATTATTTATGTAATTACACTAATATGCATTTAAAGAATAAAGATATTGTGATTAAAAAATTACTATTACCATATAAATAAAATATAATATTTAAAAAAAAATAGCAATGAAAATAAAAAAGTTTTACAGTTTATTTGTAGTACACGTCATATGTATGTTTAACACGTATGTTTGCCGTAAAATAGTTACAAATCAGTCAAATCCTTAAATTACTAATATAATTGCTACATTCATATTTTGAACATTTTAAATTTTGTTTTCAAAAATTTTATAATATTCATATTGCCTCTTCTTTATTTGACACTGTATTTATATATGTATAATTTGTCTGCACCAATAAATAAATCTCACTTATAAAATGCATAACTTTGTATATGAAATTATTCATAATATGATAATTATTTAAGCTTAAATGTTTGTTTATAAAAAACTTCCAATATTTTTTAAATTTCTTATAAATTTATGTTCAAAGTAATTGTATTTTATTTCTAGAAGAAAATAATCTTTATTTTATATATTTAAGACTGCTAATTTCTGTGCTGCAATCTTATTTTTTGTTTATACTTATTCTTCGTTTCAAGAATATCGATTTAATGTAATTTTAAATAAAATTACATTATAATTTTAAATAGAAAATTTCAAACAAATACAAGTATAACTGAATTATTTAGCAAATATTTTATTTTTTAATTTTTATAAAAAACAAAGCTATGAAAAATTAAAAAAACAATTCTGATTCCAATTAAAGAAAATAAGAATACAATTAATATGAAATGAAATAGGTGTAAAATAAAAATATCTTTTTATAACACCAGATGAAAAATTTTATATATATATGTAATACATTACACAGTAAAATTGTTTAACCAGTGATCAACTGATGCTATCTTTAATCAGAATATAGTAAACTTTCTTAATATAAATTCTTACATACTTAAATGAGTATGTTTGACAAAATATATAATTTTATATTCATTTTTATATTCAAATGTAATATAAATTTGTAAAAAGAAAAAAATATTTTTCATAATTGTAATACACACGATTAGAAATAAATGCACATAGAAAACTTTAAAGTAGTTATGTATGGAATTATTAAAATTCATGATAATTAAATTTCGTATTGTAATACAAATAATGATTGATGACAATATATTATGTCAATAATTCGTTCAAAAATTACAAGAATTAATGAAATTGTTATGTACAATTCATATTTTTATGTAATGAAATATAACTGCATTATAATCAATGCAACATTAACTGTCATATGGACATTTATTATTTTTCAATAATTTATGTAATGGATTCTTACATAATCATTATGCAGTTCATAACATGTCTTTTTCCCTGTATTGATAATTTTTTAATCAGTCCTTGAGCATTTAGATCTTTACAATCCAAATTCTTTTTCATCATCCGCTCGTATATCGCCATATCTCCAAATGTTGCGTCGACTATGCTTCGCATCTTCTTCTGCTTTTTTATATTCTTCAATCTATGAAATGAATTAATATATGGGAATTATTTTATACATATACTATTGTGAAATGTTAATATATATAAATATAAAAATACATAAATTTTAATTTACCAATTTAATAAGTCTTCTATCGCGTTGGTTCTGAACAAGTAATAACCCATCAGAAATAAGTCCTTTTGCAATATCCTCATTAGTAGAAGAATTAACTAGAGTTACAGCAGTAATATTATTGTTTAGTTTAAATTCTGTATTCAATAATAAAATTTTATCCATTACGTCTTCCTTAAAAATCTCAACTGCCGTTTTTTTGTCATCATTCTATGAATATTTATAAACAAAATCATTCATTTATAATTTTAAACGTAAAATATTTATGAATTAAACTTTTTTTTTATAAAAACACTTACATCGTTTGGCAGGGCAACACATGCAAGGACATGTTCATGAGCATAGGGTTTATCATTAGCAAATCTTGATGGTAAATCAGCAACTCTTATGACATTAATGATTTCTCTATTACCATAGTCAATGTAAAATACACTGACATTTGTACCAGAAACTTTTTCTATTTTAACGCGATACCATTCATCATCACCAGTAAATTTAGCAACCGCTAATTCACCTCTAGTGGGCTTATAAGCACCCGGAAGTGGAGGATTAGATGCTAATTCTTGACGCAACTGCAAAAGTAAATTTTCCAACATGCTACGTTGATCAACACTTTGTGCATAAAAGTGAAGATCTTCGGTAACTTCAGAAAGTACTACTTCTTGATAGTCAATTTTTCTTTCAACGATTTCTTTATCGCTTTCATTTTTTTCATTCTCAATTTGTATTTGTACATAATTCTTCCACATCTGTAAAGATGTTAAAAGATGATAATTTACAACTTATTAATTAACTAACGTTTAAGTAACATTTTCTTAAGTCTACATACATTTAGCTTTTTCATTTTGGCACGTTCTTCTGCAGCTTTAAGTGTTCTTGTTAATTCTCCAAAATCAGGGAAAGTAACTACTTCTGCGAGACCTTCTTCAACAAGAGCAATAGACATGTTAATATCGTTTACAGTTAACCATCCAATAAATCCACTTCCTTTAGTTTCGGTACTTTCAATTTTTATTTCCACATCTCTTTGGAAGCAATGTTCTCTAGTGAAAGCTAATGCTTTCTCTCCATATTCATCCGCTTTAACAATACCACCACCTGGCAATGACCTCTGGCATCGCGGAGTTCTTATTCCAGCCAAAACAAACGTAATTAACTGATCTTCCTTTGGCAAAAACAGTTTTAGACGTGAACCACTCGTAACAAATTCAACCACAGCTTTAATGCCCTGCGCTCGTTTAAGTGATGTTAAAAATGCTTTTGCCTTTGACGGATCATTAGAAAGATCTACTAATCTATGTACAGGAATATCCTTCTTTGCATGTAAACCATGTTGAGATTTTTCTGCTTTACTTTCCGCAACTTGTAACAAATTATAATGGGATGATCGTTGATCATCATTTTGTCTATATTTAATAACTCGTGCTAAACCACGTGCAACCAAAGCTTCAGCAATGTTCCTAAAGAAATATTTATATTATATAAAATAACTTATGAAGATAATTAAAAAAAACAATTAAATATTATAACATACGTTTTACCGCAAGTAACAGTACAACATAATTTTTCTGGGAAATTGTCCCTAGCAGGTTGAGTATAGTCAACCACTATTTTTACATTTTTCCTAATAAATTTTTCACGTAAAAATTCACGTGCTTCTAACATCCATGGAATATCATAAAGTGGTTTGAAATCTTTCTTAATTGCATTGTTAGATTCTTCATTAGTTTTTTTTTCTCTGGACGGTGGTCGAATACTGCTCAAAAATACTTTCTTATTTTCTCCATTTTGGGTTCGAATTATAAGAGCATCTGCATTTACAATTTCGACGACAGTACCGGTAAACTCAATTTGTGGACCCGATGGTTTATAATCTTTCCACAAACGTAATCGTGCTTCCTTCGCAGCTTTCTCTGCAAGATAGAGTTTTTCCGCACCAGCTCTACTATTATTAATTGACCAATCTTGGCATTTGGCAAATCCCTCACTCAATAAAATTTCGGCAATATTTCCTGTTCGACATAACAGAATTTATGACTGCATTCACGTAATCATATAAGATTTATTTTTAAACTACTAACCTTTTGGATGAAGAATGCTACCAATGAAATTATTGTTATTAACAGATTCAAGAATTATCTCAACCTCTCTATGTAAAAGACGAGATTCTACGAAATATCTTGCTTCATCTGCATAAGGATCACCTATAGAATTCTCACGTCTTCCATTTGGCCATCCAGGGCAACGAACACCAGATATCATTAACACTATATTGTAAAAATCAGGTAATAAAAGTGCCTTCACTGTAGAGCCATCAAATACAAATTCAATGATAGCTTTCATTGGTTTTTTCCCAAATTTTTCAATCAACTTGCGAGGGTCATCCACAGTCCATTTTACATCGCGTATATGTTCAGAATTTGGCGATTCCGACCATTTTCCTTTCTTTGTTGCTTTAGCTGCATTTTCTAATTCAATTAATCGCGTCTGTTCAGGACTGGGATTCCTAGTATCTTTTTTTACAGTTACCAAACCCTCAGATACTAATGTTTCAATAACATTTTCACCATTTCTATCTGTTATTATTAGAAAATGGAATTAATTATTTTTTTAATCAATTTTATATAATAAGTACTTCATAAAAGAATTTGTGTGAAATATACCTTTTCCCAACCACACAGTACCATAAGTTCTGTTTGTATTAATTGATTTTTCTGTAACAAAAGCTACATCCTGACCAATAAGTTTCTTGCGTAAAAATTCTCTAGCTTCCCAAGCATACGGTTCATCTTTACTTTCATCCGTACTGAAAAGAAAAGGTAGATTATAACATAACAAATTAATTAAAAAAGAATAAAATAAAGACTAAATATACCTATCGTTTCCTTTCCATCGTTCTAATTTTGGTGCGGTTATGTTGCAGAGAGTAACAGTAACTTCTGGTGGGGGACCACCCATAGGCTGACCACGAATAACAATGGTATCTCCCGAAATAACCTTTAAATATAAAATTCTACATTAAGGGGCATATAACCAAATGTATTTTCAATATACCATCATATGATTGAGAATGTTACATAATATAATATCATATCTTTTGTAAAAGTCTAAAAGATCAAAAATAAACTTTACTGATGATTATTAAATCTAGAGTGGTATAGAACAAAAAGCACAATAAATGAATAAAAGGTTTTTTTTATTGAATATATAATGTTTTAAG